TTACCTTCAAAAAAGTAAAAGAGGTATTATTAGGTGGCTACGGTGCACATGTTCATAGTAAATCTGGATAGTAAGAGTACCTACAAATTTTATATAGCCTAGGGAGCACCCGTGCATGCATGAAAATTACCACATTGGCTTTAGTTTTTAGCTAGCTGTAAATTTCTGTATGTGCAGGGACAAGGAACCAACCACAGGCAATGTAAATTCTTGCTGATCAGTAAATTTTCTGTAGGCAGTTAAAGAGGTCCTTGCTATGGTCTCACCTGGGGTTGCTTCCTTTTATATAAAAATTTGGTGGCAGTAAGTTCCTCTATGTAAAAGGAGAAGGTATTACATGTCCTGTAAATTCTTACCGTCCATAGCAAATTTTCTGTATGTAAAGGGGAGCCTACATTTATAGCTTAGGGAGGGACCCATTTATACATGAAAATTTAAATGTAAAAAGAGAAGACACAATGATGTAAATACCCGTGGTAACTTCCTGCATGCAAATGATACATGTGCTTGCATGCATGCCCATTCAATTTTCTATCTGGTTCATTGAATGCATCCACGTGCTTCATCTTACCTATGGCAGTGGGTGAAAGTATGCAAGGATGCTGGCTGTGAGGTACTACTTCATCTGGGTCGTGAAATTTCTATCTAACGCACTAATTAAATAGAACATACGTGGACACCCTGGGAGGCCGCCTAGATGGCGTGCCTTCATATCTCTAATTAGTTGTATTTTATTAGAATACTTATATGCCTTTTTTCCTGATGCAGGAATTATCGGAGCACCTGGGCATACGTCTACTCAATGAGAGGCTGAATGATCCTAACATGCAAGGTTCCTTCGAGTCTATCTTCCCAAAGGATCATCCGAAGAATACAAGATTCTCGATCAATTTCTTCACGTCCATTGGTCTTGGTGGTATAACGGAAAGCCTGAGGGAGTACTTGAAGAACATGCCGCGTCTAATAATGCAGCAGCAGAAGCCGGAATCATCGGAGTCAGAATCAAGTGGATCTGAATCTGGTTCGGAAAGCTCTAGCGCAGGGTCTAGTTCTGAATCCGAGTCGGAATCAAGCTCTCATGAGAGTGACAGGAGGCGAAGTAAGAAGAGGAGGAAGATGACTTGAGAGCACTTCCCAACTGTGCTTATTGGAATCACGTATTTGGTTTTGTTCAAATTCAAATGTGCTGCTTCAGTATGCATGTGCAGTATGTGATCTAGCTCTTGTTGTGTTCCGTTGTAATCAGAAAGCTGTAACATGTAAGATACTATACTATCCAAACTTGTACGGGACAGGTTGGTAGTCCAGCAACAAAGGGCTACCAGAAATCTAAGTTTTTTTCCCCACATTTTTCAATGCAGAACAAGTTTTGTACGTGGGGGATTTGTACCATTCCGACATCACACTGCTAGTTTACATGTTCTGGATCCTGTAGTGTGGTAACCGGTAAGCATCAACTATGTGAGTTTTTTGTTTTGATTTTTTTTTCTGCTCTCGTTTTTCCTTAGTTGTATATAATCAAAGCTATATAGACTCGCGACCTTCCCAAAAAAATTTTGTTCTTACTGGTACATTCTTTCTTTGAGGTGATTCGGCATTTATTAAATACATACACGTGGCATGTAAATGCTCCAAAATATGGCGTTTGCTTATTTTCTGTTGTGGACTTAGAGATGTCATATAAGCACATTACAGAAATTTGTACAGCCTAAACCCACCGAAAGTTCAATAGGTACATTTGCACTTTGGTGAGTAATGAGAAAATGCCTGACAGGAACAAAGCCTGCCTTGGTTATTTGGCAAACTTACCGGCTACTCCCTCTATATTCTTTTATAAGATGTACGAGTATATCAAGATTTTAAATGTTAAAATCTTTGATCAATAATTTGACAATAATTTTGAACTATTATAATGTAAACTTTATACAATTAGATTTTTGATTAAGTGTACTATCCAACTATCATAAGTTTATATAAATATAAATAATATAAGATAAAATAAATAAATGATTAAATTGTAATTTAATAGAACATGTATAAGCTGTATTTTATAGAAAAGGTAGGTAGTAATTTTTAGCCAAACTAGTAAATAGTACTAATTATATTGATCCAAAAAGGATTTTAGCGGGGAACTGGAATTTCAGCCTAGTTTAAGAATTTGCCACATAGACCTAGGCCTGTCACATACTCACATCAACAATTTATATGACGTGGCACAGTAGTGAAGAGGCATACGACTCTGTCTCATAAAAACAGTCGCTACAAGACTCGTGCTAGTTAAACTTTTTAAAGTTTAACTATGTTTATAAAAAATATTAGCAACATTTATATCTATAAATAAGTTTATTATGAAAATATATTCAATGATAATTATTTATCATAAATATTAATATTTTATTATATATATTTAGTTAAGGCTAAAAATGCTTGACTTTTTGGAAGCGAGAATAACATTTTTTATGGGGTCGGAGGGAAAGGAAAATGAGTTTGATCGTGGTGAAACCTGAAGGGCGCCGTTTCCTACGTTTGGTCTCATGGAAATCAAATCGGACGACACCACAATGAGGTGGTTAGAGCAGAGAGTTTCATCTTCTCCTGAAGATGGTGGTATCCTGTGCAGTGTGCACCTCCCCGCCGATTCATGCCTAAGACAAGCTGAGAGGAGATTCTCATGGCTCGCCGAGAGCCCGAGAGACATGCATGAGCCATCTACGAATGAAAACGGTTGGAAAACCTCTTAACCGATTTCTACTTCTACATTTGAATACGAAAATAAAAGCGAAAGCGGTAAAGTCGGACACAAAAACGAACACAAACTTACGGAATATCGAGAATTTCGAAAACGAACTAATTTGAGCGGAATTATGTCGAACACAGTCGGTATACAAAAAAAATCAATACGGAATATTCACCCGTAGGATCAATAACAATTAACAAGTGAATAATAATTAACAAGTCCTACAATTTTCTTAAAAAGTATCTCTATTCGACAACATGTAAGGAAGGTATGATTTTTCTACCGCTGAAAATTTGTTTAATTTTTTTAACATCTTAAAGACCTCAAATGAGAAAACTAAAAACTAGAAAGTTGTAGATGTCATCGAGAGCTACAATTTTCATATAAAAATCATCTTTATATAGTTTTTGCTCCATTTGGTTATCCCAACCGGAGGCAATGAAAATGTTGTGGATCTCATAAGAACTTCAAGTAATTTCTATTGCCTTATTTTGATTAATAAAGTGTGTCCAACCGCTTTTCTAAAAAGGGTGTTTATATCTGACTACTAACTCATTAATCGAAGGACTATGTTTGTAGTTGTTTGAGGTAATCATGTCGATCTATGGAGCTAATAGTTAGATGCTAACAATTAGTTTCTTGGATCTTAATATAGCTAATAGTTTATCTAATTGTTAGCGGAATAGCTAACTAATAATTATTTCATGTTGAGCCAAACTAGTAGCTAATAGCAGCTAATTTTAGCTGTGACATACTAGCTAGCTAACTATTAATAGCTAATGAATCCAAACAGGGTCTATACAGAGTTGCATGTGACAAAAAGAATGGCTAATCACGATTAACTAGTCCCTCGACCAAAAAAATTCAGATATTTGGACTCCACACTTCTCGATCACACTGGACAGAGTTATCGGACGACGGGTCAGGCTACCATGCGAGCGCGTGACCTCGTCCACCGACACCTCCGACCATCTCTCGCGGCCGCCGGCGACATGCCGCCTCGCCGCACTGCCTCGTCTCAGCCCCCGTACGTCGACCCCACCCTGCTAATCCATCGACTCCATCAACCAACCACCGATGAGACTCCCCGTCCCTGTCCGTCCAAACCGCCGTGGCCCTGTTTGTTTGGGCTTGTTTGGCTTATAAGCCATGACTGAAAGTACCGTTGGCTGGTTTGGTGTGAGAGAAAAATACTATTCGTTGGCTGATAAACCATGATTTATAAGCCAAATACGACCGAACGAATAGGCTGCGTGTCCACCACCACTGCCGAGGCGCTGCGCCGTCTCGCCACCTGGTCCACTCAACGCCACCTATGGCCACGCACTGTTGGGCCAACCTGCCGTTGAGATATAGAGTCGGGGAGACAGTCAAACACCTAACCAATCTGCGTGCCTGTGCGATGGTCGCAAGCACGCGACTGTCACGGTGTTTTTTCTTTGGCAACATATCAGGTGTAAACCAATCAGTCTGTGCAAACTTGAAAACTACCGATTAGGACCACTAGATGCTGATCCAATGAATGGGGTGAGAGGGCTTAAGCGCAAAAAAAATGGCCGGTGGGTGGGGGGCTTAAGCGCAAAAAAAATCCTACCTCTCACCTCGTCCATTGGATCAGTATCTAGTGGTCCTGATTGGTAGTTTCTAAGTTTACACAGATTGGTTGGTTTGCACCCGATACGTTGCCTTTTTCTTTTGTTTTCTTTGAGACGACCGTCGTGGTGTTAGTGTTTGCGGATCACAATCTATGAATCCAGCTGGGAACGACAAAACATTCCAGCACCTCCGCCAGACCCCACTCCTCGTCAATCCCCACTCGCCTGTTCCGTACACGGCAGTTCCCTGCCTCTGCCGCCGCCGCCCCAATCCACCTCATGGACACGCCGCCGCCCTCTCTCCCGCCGTCCACCCTCCTCTGGCCGGACCTCCTCGTGGGCACGGCATCCTCCACGTGTCGCCTCGTTGCCGCGCATTCCCGCCACTTCCTCGCCCTATCCTCTCTCCTTCTGCTCCCGCTCGCCCTCCTCCTACTCGCCCTCCCCTGTCCATTCCTCCCTGCTTCCGTCTCCTCCCCCGCCCCCCCCTCCGTGTCTCTCCGAGCCCCGCCGGATCCACCGAGGAACCCGCTACCCATCCCGCTGCCGCTTCTCGCCCTTGCCGCCGCGCTCCTCTACCTCGCCGCCTTCGAAATTCGCCACCGCTGCTGCCAGCACACGCAGGGTTCTTCGGTCGCCCCGTCCGGCTCCTCGCCTCGCTCCGCTCCATGCTAGCCTCCCTCCTCCGCCTCGTCCTCACTGCCATCCCGGCTACCCCGCTCGCACTCCTTCCGCTCCTCACGCTCCCCGCTGCGCTCGGCGCCGCGCTGCCCATCCTTGGCTTCATCCTTTTATCCCCGTTCTGGTCCCTCATTGGCGTCGCTACCGTGGTCAAATCGGCCACAGGCCTCACGCCGCTCCGCCGGAGCTGCCGGCTCCTCTCTGGCGCCTGCCTCGCAACCCTCTCCTCGTTCCTAGTCTTTGCTGCTGGGATTGGGGTCACGCTATGGGGCTTCGGCGGTGTGGCTGCCGAGACGTACGACGCTGGGGCTAGGTGGGCTGGGATGGCGCCCGTGGTGGTCAAGGCGGTGGCTGGCACAGCGTTGCTGGCCGTGATGATGCTGTACGGGATGGTGGCCAACGTTGTGCTCTACATGCACTGCCGCGCGATGCACGGAGAGCTCGTAGGGGAGATCTACAATGAGTTCGCCAACATGTATGTCTTCCTGCCAGTGCCGCCTTAGGGGTAGGGCACGAGGTGCGACGGCCGAGGGCCCAAGCGAATGAGGGGTCCAAGCCCAAGCCCAGTATACAAACCCCCAGGTCCTATAGTCCATTAGGCATTAGCAAACTAATAAGAAGAGAGACATAGAACTAGCCATGCGGCCTAAAAAGACAACATCGTCATTTCTTTCCTAGTTTCCTTTCCCCACGACCCTTGGGTAGGGAGGAGGCGAGGAGTCACGCTGCACACAGCACACTCTGATCGTGAGTTCACGACGTGCGCCTTATACACGCGGAGCTGGCGAGCCGCGCTGCCGCGAATAGGCCTGGGCGTTCGGTTCTACTGAACCGAACCGATCGGTTCTTCGGTTTTTCAGGAAGTTCGGTTCTCAGAAAACTCGGTACCGATCGGTTCTTCAAACAACTCGGTACCGACCAAGTTCGGTTTCGGTTAGTTTGATTCGGTTCTCGGTTCCAACCGAACTAACCGACCAATTATTGAACAGGTTACATTAGAAAAATTCAGCAGCATTTTGGCTATTTTCAAGGTATAAATGACATGGCAACATCAATAAGTCAACCAAATAACCACAACCAACACATCAGCACATTCACAAATCACAAGTTCACAACCTAATTACTGATCTCTTGGTACAGATTTACAAGTTCCTCCCATCGATTTGGTTCTTCGGTTATTTCGGTTAACCGAGGGGTGGAACCGATTTAACCGAACAAAGTTTGGTTCCTAAGAACTGAGAACCGAACGGGTAACCGAAATTTCGGTTCTCGATTAGTTCGGTTTGGTTCTCGGTTAGTTCCGTTCGGTTCTCGGTAAAATTTGCCCAGGGCTAGCCACGAAGATCTAGACTACTGGAGACACGGACACGGCGCATGAGAACGGCGACCAGGCTGAGCTCCACGACAACGACATCTTGATTCTTGGCTTTTACGAATTACGATCACCGATCAGTTGTTTAGGCCCAAGGTATTTTTTTCCTTTTTATTTTTAATCCAAATTAATTATTTGTATAGTATTCCAGACTTCTAGTCATATTTTTCTTTTAATTTAGGTGTTAGAATTTTAGAATGTTACCTAAGAAACATTTGTCATGTGTGAGAAAAGAAAATAAATATATTGCTTTTTAATCTATATTTTTCCTCGATAATTATCATACATCTACAAATATATTGCTTAATCTACATTGTTTCTCGATAATTATCTAACATGTTAAATTAAAAATATGTTATTGAATTTGCTTTCGTTTTACAAGTAAAATTAGTATTATATATTATAAGATTTTATATATGATTAAGAGGGGCTGTTGCGACGAGATTGTCAGAGGGCCGTGAATCCTAGCACCGACACTGCTTCCTGCCCTTTGACGATGGAAAAGATCGCCATGTTGTCTCTGTAGTCACGATGTGGCCGTGATTGGTTTCAGTGCAAGCAATCAAGGTTTTGGCCTGGCGTGCATTTCAGTTCTGTGCATAAGTGTGTAATTGTGATGGGATGTTCGGAAGATGTTGACTACTATTAGTGTAAGAGATCCATACTTTTGGTTTTGTACTAAAATAGAAAAGGAATTTGAGTATCATATACCATTGTCGATGGGAACCGAATGCTGGCTTTCTCGTAGTCTAAGAATGGCTATAGCGCGTTAAAATAGCAGGCTAAGTTATTTAGCGAGGAGAAAAAAAATATAAGCATTAAGTAATTTTACACGTAATAAATATAGAAGACAACAAATACTAATTACCATATAAGTAGTGTGAGATAGTTTAAAGTCTTACTGACACATCATAGTTCGTACACGTCCAGACATGACAATTTACATGTATTAAAAAAAGTAAAGAATATAGAACGAACAGAACTCGGGAGCCACGCGTGCACCGGAAGAAGAAGCTAGGAACCACCGTCGTTCATGGTCATCTGCCCTGGTCCTCTGCCCCCGCTCTCCTCATAATCTCAGGCTAGGACGCCAGGTTGCAGATGTCGACGCCGCCGGATGCAGCCGCCGCCGCCGCCGCCGCCGCCGCCGCCGGCCGCAGCAGCAGCAGACGCTGCGGCAGGACGCAGTGGCGCCGCCGCCGCTAGCTCTTTTCATCGCGACATCTGGAGAGGAATGGATAGGGTTACCCGCCGCCGGCTCTATACAGCGCCGTGATGGACTGGATCCTTGCGATTTTGGGCCGAGGGAGTTCGCACGAGCTGATTTGGCCCAATAGCGGCGCTAAATAGAGATCAGTTTAGCGGATTTAACGCACTATTAGAGCATCTCCAAGAGTTCCCTACTTTTTTCTCCTAAAAACTTGTAGTTTAGCAACTCCTGACAAAATTTAGGGAAGAAAAAAGAAGGTCATTTTCAAGATTTTCTAATAAATAACATCTAAAAAATCAAATTGGGAGCCCACATGAATTATGTTGCGGCTTTTTTTCTTTTCCATCACGGGAAACTACAGGGCGCGCCGAACCTTGACCGCGAGCTCCCTGCCGCCGTCGTCATCGTCCAGCCAACTGCGGCAACCACCCAGCCGCCTGCCGCCTCCTTCCAGCCAGCCGCGTCCACCTTCCAACCGGCCACGCCCTCCTCCCGGTCGACCGACGCCACCTCCCAGCCGGCCGCGACCATCTCCTAGCCGGCCACACCCGTCACAGCCTACAGACTGCCTCGCAAGGTCACTAGAATCATGGCTGCTGAGAAATCTCTGTTGCAAAGAGAATTAGAAGATTCCTCATCAGACGACGATGATTGTCTCATTATGTCAGCAGCTGCAATTGTTGAAACATATTCAAATAAAAAAGGAAGACATGATGGTTATGTTCCGGGGCATAAAGTTATTTATCGAGATAGAGAAGGCGGCTACCAAAGGATGTTTCAAGATTACTTGGCTGATGATCCGACATATGGCCCAAATTTATTCCGTCGGAGGTTTGTGCGCATTCACTTGTGATATGATCACTAGTACGCTAAGTAATTATTCTAACATTTATTTTATTTTTTAATTTCAGGTATAGGATGAGTCGGGACCTTTTCGTACGCATAATGAATGCTGTAGAATCATCACTACAAGAAATTTGGCTTTACGTGACGGTTTAATTGTGACCTTCTAACAAATCATCACCGAATATAGTCATCTGTGACGGTCCAAATCCAAGGTAATGGATGTATGATGATTGGTTAAATTATCGTCATAACGGATCATTTTAGTCATCCATGACGGACTTATTGGAAGGTCACAGATACAACATCCAACGTGTCATTGTGATGTGAGCGTCCACATCGTTCCTACCTGTCATGCTGAAGGTAAATGTGAAAAAAAAATGAAGGTAAATGTGAAAAAAAAATACCGCTGCTAGGAATTGAACCTTGACCTGTCGATCACAACAGCAGGACCTAACCACTTGGATACTGATTTCATGTGTGTATACTAGTGATATGTTTATTCTTTTGGCCGGTGGCAAACAAATTAGGATAGTTCTGAACCAAATTAGAGACCGTGTCCAGGTCTCCAGACCACGCCATCCGTGTCCAAACCACGGGATATTTAAATATTTGCCACCCTTACGGTTGGCTCCTACTAACTTGCCAACTTTAAAATATGAATTATAGATTTGTCATATAAATTGCTCTGGTGCTAAAGATTTGCCTATTTTGAACTTGTGGCAGTACATGTCATCATGCCACAGTGAATCGGCCGGAGAAAAAGATGTCCATGCCCCTTAGGCTGTTAGGACAGCCAGCTCTAACCAGCCACCGTGCTCAAAAAAAAAAGCCACGTGCTCCAGCTCCAACCAGCCAACCAACGTGCTCTACATATATTTGCTACAGGAGGCCGTCTACAGTAAAAATTCGACATGATATATGCTAATCATGGTCACAAATTTGCATACATATATTAGTACATAAATTCGACAACCACTGTACATTAAAAATCAGCATCATCATGGCCACACATGAATTGTACCAAATATATATATATGAATGTACCATGCACAACAAGCACATTAGCTAAAAGAGACCACTGATGTCTAAGTTTGGTCATAACAGCCATACATAGAATCATTAAACAGGTTCTAGGCGACACATAGCTAAAGCAATGGCCATTTAACAGTTCTGACCAATAAAAGTATATGAGGTGCCATTTATCAGGTTCTGGCCGACAAATATAGAGCACTAATGCCATTTAACAGGTTTTGGCCACAATGCACACTAGGAATCCACAAAAGTCATTGTTTTTCATCTCCACGGCCTTGGCTTGTCTTATGTTTTCTTGATCTTGGAGGCCAGCTGCTTTCTCCTCGGAGTCATCTTCTTGGGCACGGCCTCCACAACTTGTAGCTCTCCTTCTGGAAGAGGTTCAGCTGCACCCAACAATAATCTCCTGAAAAAATAGAAAGTGAGGGGTGTTTACAACAGCAAGCAAATTACCTTTGGATGTTTACAAAAATCCTAGTGATTATACCTCCTAGTGCTTGGACACGATGGGGTGCTTGGACCTAATGGGGTTCCTGGAGCTGCTAGCTGAACCTCTATAGGCACAAGTTCAACATGGAGCTCTCTGTTGGCTGCCCTTGCTTGCTTTGCTTGGTGGCTTCCATAGTCTAGCTTGAAGCTCGAGTTGAGCTTCTTACGCCTCCCGGCCTTGCCCTCACTGCAGACTTTCCTTGTCTGCTGCAAGCCTTGTCCTAGGAGTGGCTTGTTTAGGAGCAGGATGTCCCCTGTCTTGCTCTTCTTCCTCTCGGGCTTCACACTAGTCTTCTTAGTTCTCTTCCTACAAGCAAAAAAGTGAAATTTTTAGCACATTACAACAACAGCAATAATAAAAAAAAAATGTGTTGCTCCTACCTTTTCTTAGTTTCTGTCAAGCTACACCTCCAGCTACCTTGCTCTGTGCCCATGTTCACCACATCCTTTACATAAGGCTTGTCAGGTTGCCTTCCCACTTCTCTCACCGGTGGTTTGGCCACTGTTTTTCTTTTGCCCTGCCTAGCCCTCTCTTTTTTTCGCAATTGGAGGATGCAGATGAAATCCCTTGTTTACTTCAGGCCACTGAAATTTGTCTGTAATATTTGCTACTATTCCATCATAAGCAGCTTGGAACCTCTCAACAGAGTAGTAATTGTCCACATAGCTGCCCATGTTTGGTCGCCTTTACGCTTGTGATGACTGCTAGTGCATGTGGATAGGGTTTTCCAGTAACTTGCCACTCTCTGCAAGTACATGCCCTCTGAGTTAAATAAACAATATGTCTTCTGACCTCTTCATCCTTATACATCTCAGTCACTTCTGTTTGCTCAGGATAGCCTTTGGTGACCTTTGGTGGCTCAGACCCTTGGAAGTCGCATTGAGTTGGTGAATTACACAAGAGCAGTATTCCGGTGATAAAGGCCCGGAGATCCTCCTCCTCTTGGAAAAAGTATCACTAACCTCTCCCTTATACCATCTACCATGCGGTGAGGAGGCAAATCCTTCAAGTCCTTCACCCAAGCATTCCAACTCTCAGCAAGGTTGTTGTTAATGTAATCACATTTGATGTCTACTGACCTGAATTTACTTCTTGCCCACAACAAACCTGTGATGGTCATCTAGCCACTTTGTTACTCCTGGGCTTGCTTTGCCACAACCTTGTCAAAAAGTACTTGAACCTATGTGGAGAGTAGGCTCTTCTTTGCAGGCCACATATTTTTGCATAAACCTCTCCGGTGTAGTACTTCTTCATGTTCTCCATCAAATGTCTAAAGCACTCTCTCTGCTCAAAGCCCATGGAAACACTTGCTTGCTTGATCTGACTTCAAGCCCCTTGCATGCATCAGTGCAAGCACCAACCTAGGCGGGGGCCCTATTGCTTTACCTAGCTGTTCCATGAACCATGTCCAATTTTCGTGGTTTCAAAGTGTCAAAAAACCAAATGCTAGTGGAAACATCCAATTATGCCCATCTAATGCTAAAGCTGCAGGGCATTTGTCCATTCCACTCCCGATTAAATGTGTGGAATCTATACTAATGTAAGGCCTGCAACCATATAAGAATTCATCTATGCAAGCCTTGAAGGCACAAAAAATCTAGTGAAGTGCACTTTCCCATCAAGCGTGGACTGTGTGTCTATCTCTACAACACTACCGGTGACCTCAACTCTACCTCGGCTTTGAATCATACAACCAATCATAAGAATCGGACCACTTACCAAATAGTTTGTCTGCTGCTCTCTGTCTCCCATACCACACAATTTGGTAGCTTGTCTCAATTTTGTACTTGTCATCAAGAAACTCCTTAATTGCAGAAGCCCCCATACTTGGTTTTTTCTTCAATAGAGGTATAGCTTTTTGTGCAACCCAACCAATAGAAGCCATGTTGGTAACAGCCCTATTAGTTGATGGACACTTGTGGACACCATTGTTGATCTGAATCGCACAACAAAACATACAATGTTAGAAACTAACTCAAGTCAAACAAAAAAAGTATGCATGAACAGCCAATTTGCCTTACAAAACAAAATAATTGGTTCAAAAATGTACCACGACACTCTTATCACGTTGAGTCCTAGCTCTAATAATCCAAGACAGATGCCAATTTGCCTTGCAAAATCCCCTGAACCTCTTTTTTGTCGACTTCTCGTCCCAAGCTCAAAATCTTTAACAATGGCATGTTGCCTTACGCCATCCTAAAGTCATCCATACAGGGATAGTATATGCCAACCGACATATCCGGAAATTCCTTATCCCAATCTTCCATAGGCTCAGAGGAGTCTGTGTCATCAACAAGATAATTGCAGCATCTTCCATCTCTCTTTCAAGTTCCTTAGAGATGGTAGGGATAGGAATTTCCTCTCTAGCAGCTTCCTTGGCCTTCTCATGAGCTTCCTAGAACCCCATTGCCTCATAAACAACATCCTCATTAGCTATTGCATTTGCCTCACCATCCTCAAACTTCCTCTTGGATGATAGTCAATGTAGCCCGATCCATGGAATCGCCTCATCACCATCTCAGGCCGGAGATGTCTGGTATCGACCATTCCTTCCGAATTAGCTCCAAAGATAAGAAGCATCAACATTGGTCACATCGAGACATAGGAATACCATCGTTGTTTGTCTCATATCCATCCTTAGTAGTAACCTCAACAAGAATATATGCCATCCTTTCCTCCCATTTCTCCTCTATCATTTTTCGTCATTGCTCATCCCTTCTAATTTTCCATTCAGAGCCACTATCACTGTCCAAAACCCAAATTGACAATGTCTGGCTTGGTCCCCATATAATCTTCGTAGCAATTTTATCATGAAACTGAGCTAAACTGTACCCAACACTCCTATCTAGCCACAACTCATGTTCTTGGTCAACAATTTCAACAAGCCCATCATATTCAAGCACAGCAGTTGTACTTAACGATTTTAACAACTAGCCTAAATGCATTGCCAGGTTCGATCCTGGCATTAATGTAAACATAAAAACATTGCATTGTCAGCCAAGTACCCCATGTAACTCAGTCCAACTGTCTTCCCTACAGTGAAAATAGAGAGACTCACCAAGGGGGGCAGCCATCAGGTTCCATGGTCACAGATCAGGATCCAACGCCTGCTACATCACCCACCTACAAACCAAAATTGCAGTAAAAATCAACGTTCAACCCTAACCCTAGCTCGGTAAACGAAGGCAAAATAAGAGGGCCAGCGAGGGGCGGAGGGTGGGGGAAGTGCGTGGTCAAACCTGCTTGGGTTCGGGGTTGTGGAAGTGCAGATCGGGGTAAACTTCCGGCCACCATCCTGCAGCCCACCTCGCCGTACTAGCCGCTGTAGCCAAGAGCAGGGGCGCGGGAGAAGAACGGGGAAGAGAGGGCGCGGGCGACCGGCGAACGAGAGAGGAGGAGGATTCGGGACGGACGAAGGGCTCGGCGTCGGTCGCGCGGGGCTTCTCCTCTGCCCGTCGCGGGATTCCGGGCGACCGCGAGCGGACCTGCTCCCCTTTCCGTCGCGGGTGGAGAACGGGGGAAGGGGATGACTCGAGAGGCGACAAGACCGGGATGAGAAAAAATAGAGTGGAGGATAGGGAGGTCTTTTTCCTAAGCCAATCCACCGTGGAAAGCTGAGGTGTACTGCCACGACGTTAAAACGGGCAAATCTGTAGCACCATCGTGATTTGGGTGGCAAATCTATAATTGCCGTTCTAAAGCTGGCAAGTCCATAGGAGCCAGTCGTAAGGGTGGCAAATATATAAATATCCCCCAAACGACGACCCTGTCCTCGCCGGCCGCTGGGTGCGCGTCGCCCCTATCCACGCTGGCCACCGGGCGCGCACCACCCGCCGCCCCTGTCCTCGCCGGCCATCCCTCTCTGCGCGGGCTGCCCCTGTCCTCGCCAGCCGTCGCTGTTAGTGCCAGCCTTGTGGTCCCTGTCCACGCCGGCTGCCCCTATCCACGCCGGTCGTCCCGGTTGCTGTCAGCGGTGGCCGCGGTGAAGGCGATACCGAGAAGCAGCCATGGCAGCGGCTCCGTCAAGCCCCCTTGCAGGGGATCCATCGCCGCCCACCTCCAGAGATCTTGCCTCAACTGATTTCGATTGGTACATATTTGGATACACAGTTTAAATTAGTGTTGTACTTTGTTAGTTGATGTAGTGGCTGCAATTCTAGGTTAGATTGATCTATTTATTTTCTGCAATTTTTATGTAGATGGACAGACGTTGGATTCATGGTGCTCTGTTTACCCCTCAGTATATTTGTGGTGTCCGGTCTTTCATGAACTTTGTCAAAGAGAGGTTCTTTGAGTCTGAGAAGATTTTGTGCCCGTGTGAAAGCTGTCTGAACTATAAATCTTTAGAGCAAAATGAAGTGGAGAGGCACCTACTGCTCAATGGCATGTCCAGCACATATACCAGGTGGATAGATCATGGAGAGGACAGAAATATTCATGTTTTGGAGGAACTAGAAGTAGTTGAGGATGCAAATGGTACCTGAGCACACCAATGATGGTTGTGGACTTGAAGAGATGTTAGGGGAACTCGTCAGGTCTGAACAACATAGAAATGAGGCTAGACCTGAAGATGGAAATGAGGGTGCTGCATCACATTTCAAACAGCTGATTGAAGATGCTAAGCGTGAGCTATATCCTGGTTGTATGAATTTTACAAGGTTCACATTTGTAATCAAGATGCTCCATGTGAAGTCATACTATAGGATCACTAACTCAGCATTTTCTGCAATTATGAAGATCTTGTCAGAAGCTTTCCCACAGTTCAATACTATTCCAAAATCATATGACAAAGCAAAGAAAATGCTACGTGAGTTAGGACTTGGTTATGAATCAATTCATGTGTGCCCCAACAATTGTGTGCTATTTAGAAAGGAAAATAAAAAAGGATAGTTGTCCAGTTTGTGGGGCATCAAGATGGAAAGATCCTGAGAGAAAGAAGGTTCCAGCAAAAGTATTGCGGCATTTTCCATTGGTCCCCAGGCTGCAAAGGATGTTTGTTTCGAAGAAAAGATCTGAGGAAGCATAGTGGCATAAGTTGAAGAGGAAACACAATGAGAAGGAAATGACCCATCCTGCAGATGGAAAGGCATGGGAAGATTTTGACAACCGCTGGCCTGATTTTGCTAAAGATGCACGGAACATAAGACTTGGACTTGCCACAGATGGTTTCAACCCTTTTAGCAACATGAGTTCATCTTATAGCATGTGACTTGTTTTTGTGATTCCATACAACTTACCACCTTGGGCATGCATGGATGAATCTAATTTCATGATGGCTTTGTTGATTCCTGGTCCTCGTTCACTGGGGAAGGCCCTTGATGTTTTCTTGCAGCCTCTTGTAGAAGAATTACTTGAGCTATGGAAGGGTGTGGATACTCTTGATGCTATCACCGGAAAAGATTTTAAGCTTCGTGCTGCAGTGTTGTGGTGCATTCATGATTATCCAGCACTAAGTACCCTATCAGGCCAGGTCATACCACAAGTAGTTACTTTGCTTGTCTCCATTGTGACAAAAATCCTCTGTCATATGCCATAAGGAGCAAGCTATGTTATATTGGGCACTGTCTTTTCCTTCCGAGTGGTCATCGTTTGCGCAGGGCCAATGAATTTGCATCCCTCCATGATAGCAGTGCGAAGCCAACTAGTTTCACCACAGAAGAGTTGCTAGAAGAATTGGAAAAGGTTAGTGATGTCAGAGTAGGACAGAAAAGGAAGCGTTCGGGCAATCGTGTGCCAATTTGGGGCAGAAGGAATTGTTTGTGGGACTTACCATATTGGCCAACTCTAAAGCTTAGACACAATCTGGATGTCATGCATATTGAAAAAAATGTGTGTGAAAGCCTCCTTGGTACCATTCTGGACATAAAAAGGGAAGTCAAAGGACACAGTTAATGCAAGGCTCGATCTGGCTGATTTGGAAATTAGAAACGAGTTGCAATTACAGGATAGTGGAGATTCATATGACATGCCCAAAGCTCGATATACTTTATCCAAGTCAAAGAAGACTCAATTTTATAATTTCTTGCAGGAGGCCAAGTTTCCAGATGGATATGCTTCAAATATACAAAGATGCTTAAATCCTGACTCAATCAAGTGGCAAGGCCTGAAAACTCATGACTGCCACATTCTGTTGCAAGGGATTATACCAGCTGGGCTGAGAGGGCTGTTGGATGATGATATATATCAAACAGTTGCTGAGTTCGGCAAATTTTTTAGGGAATTGTGTAGCCAAAAACTGAACAAAGATATCTTGGCTCGAATGAAGACTGAAATACCAGTCATATTGTGCAAGCTTGAGAAAATCTTCCCCCCTGCTTTTTTTATGTCATGGTTCACCTTGCTGTCCACTTGCCTGATGAGGCCATGGTCCGTGGACCTGTGCAGTTTGGGTGGATGTACCCCATTGAACGGCGCTTGTATACATTGAAAAGGTCAGTTAGGAACAAGGCACGCCCAGAAGGCTCAATTGCAGAGGCTTATGTGGCAAATGAAGCCCTCACATTTTGCTTGAGATATATGGATGATGTAGAGACAAGGTTTAATCGACTCCCAAGAAATGTTGGATTTTCAGATCAATCAGCCTATACTGTTGATGTTTTTGGGCATGGTGTTAATCTTATTGGTGCATTTGATCTTTCATACTCCGAGGAACTTGATAAGTTGGCTTGGTATGTTCTCCATAATTGTGATCAGGCTGAGAAGTACATAAAGTATGTTCTAAAATATTCTCTATTTTGTATATTACATTTGTTTCTTAATTATTTTTAGATTAGCAACTTACTGTTTTTTTTATTTTTGAGTTACAGAAAGTTTAAAGATGAATTGACAGAAGTAGGGGTGCAGGCTGCAGACCTTGGAAGAAGGACAGAGCATGGATTTGCGAGTTGGTTCAGGAATTATGTTAGTATCTATCTTATTCTTATCTTAAATTATTAGTTATCTTGTAGATAACTATTTTGACGCTGAGACATTCCTTTTTGCAGATGTGGAGGTTGAATGCATCAGAAGAGGTAGATGATGATATATTTGCCCTAGCTTGTGGCCCTGACCTTAGAGTTAGATCATACTCCACATGTGTTGTCAATGGTGTGCGGTACTGCACCGTCGAGCGTGACAAAAACAAGAAGACACAAAACTCGGGGATGATTGATTTTTATGGTACATTGAAAGAGATTATTGAGTTAGAGTACCACGCCAAGGATGGTGGTACAAAAAGAACTGTTGTTCTTTTTAGATGCGACTGGCACAAATTGGATGGTAAGCATACTGCAGTAAGGGATGATGGGTTTTGTAAAAGCATCAATATTGGCAGCCTATGGTACAAGAAAGACTGTTTTATTTTAGCAACTCAAGCTACACAGGTTTTTTATTTGCCAGATATTAAGAATGGAACAAATTGGCGGATTGTCCAGACATTTAAGCATCATCATTTGTACAATGTTTCTGAAATAGATGGTGTCGTATCCACTGCTGCATCCTATCTAGAGCAGACATGTGCTGTGGACACTGGCAGAAGACCAAAAGTTTCTGAGATCTTGCCTGACATGCCTTTGAACAGAGTTGATGAGGCTGGCCTTCTTGTTGATGCTGCTGAGGTTGCTCGACTTAGAAAGGAAAATGAATCAAAGACTACTAGTGAAGATGAAGAGGGTGATGAGGTAGAGGATGACACACTGATGGAGTACTTGAGTGAAGAAGAAGCTGTCCCTGTTGAGGTTGATAGCGATGATGAGTAGTTTAGCATTTGTCATGTCCGAACTACATATTAAATGGTTGAAGGTGGACGCCTTCTCCAGCAGCTTGGTCTCTTTCTCCAGTAACAACTACTTAGGGAGCCATGGAATCTTGCTGCATGTACATACATGACATCATAGAATCCCTCGAGCAAGGCAATGTTGTGCTTCTTCCTGCAGTCATGTTCTGGCAATCTCGGCCATTGGCCAAACAGCATGCAGCCATGGTGGGCGCAGCGGGAGGTGGGCGGGCGACGGGCGGGCAGACGGCGAGGGCGCAGCCGGCAGCGCAGGCTAGAGGCGCGGATGGTGGCCCAGAACGGAGACGGCCTTGGCAGCGAGGCGGGTGGTGGCAGGGCGAGGGCTGCTCCGGCGACGGCGAGGCGCCGTAGGGGAAGAAAGGGGACGGGGGCCGATCTGTTTGACCGCGAGCACTGGGTAGTGCTCCCAATTCTGTTCGCGTGTGCTCCCAAGACCGATCGGTGGACCTTTCCTTATATGCCTTTGGTCTATGAAGACCGTGTCTACGGAGGAATTCAAAACTAATCTTGTCAAGATTTTTTCTTTCGTGTCATATATTCTTCTTATGTACTCATCATATATTGGAATGGAGTTGATCGATGTAGAACATCTTATACGATTACTAGGTAGTTTCTTGAAGCATTACTAGACATCAATGGGTAGTCACCACAAAATCACCATCATGTGTACCATAACACGCTTGAGTCGATTGATCTAGGTACCTATCTAGAGATGAACCTCTAGGAATGGTACAAATCATTTGGTACTCAAGACCAAATCACACTAAGCGGGATAAGTTTAAGTCGAACACTTATGAAACCATCAACTTTTGAAATGGAGTTGATTATCGAAGTAAAACATCTTATTCGATTACTAGACATTAACGACAATAGGTTAATATAGAGTCTTCATCCAACATGAATGACAAATGTCCTCTTTGAAGAAAGTCATACTCTTGCATAAAGCTTGTGTTGCTTCTTCACTCAACAACGCGTGATCTCCCATCTCTTTTTTGTTGTACAATGCCTTATGTCTTATAGGCATCCAACCCTGCTTTTTCCGCTAAATGATATGACTAAATCGGGAGATTGAGCAACATCAAGTTTTTCTTCTTCGTTTCATCATGGGTGGGATATCGTCGCCATCTCTATTGTCAACAACTACCACAACGATTACTAAGCAAGAAATGTGGGCGATCGATGTAGAGTATGTTCCAGGAGTACTATACATACATCATTTGGTAGTAACCACAAAATCAACACACCAAAATCACCCTAAGCTTGTCACACGATCAGCAGTCACCACAAAATCAACACACCAAATGACCCCAAGCTTTGCACACCAAAATAGTCTTATATAGCATAACACGATGGTGTTGATTGATCTACATACATAGGGAACCTCTGTGGTTAGTAGAAGTTATTTGGTACTTACTATATATAATCACCACCAAAACAATTTTTGACAGCTAAACTTTAAAACATGTTCTATTATAGATCACCTTCGGACTAATATAGATTATTGGGCTTAACATGTCCTAAACAATTTGATAGCTAAACTTTAAAATTTTGGTTATTCCCTAAACAAGTAAGTACATCATAATCCAAATTTTGGTTATCACCTAAACAAGTAGGTCCACAATATTCAAAATTTGGTTATTATCTGGCACTCTTTTATTATTTTGATAGCTAAGAAAAAAATAACAGAAGAAAAAAAAGAGGCACCCTGAACAGAGGCGCGCGCGCTGGAAAAATTACGCGCGCGCCCTGAAAATTTCGCGGCGAGCGGCCTTCCCACCTCCAATATTTGGCTACGAATTTACCATTATGCCCCGCCATCCGTGCATCCCGCAAATGAAACGATGGGGATATTTTGGTAATATTGCAGTGCCATATATAATCTGGCTCCGCCGTCTCACAGGCAACGGCGCCACCAAATCCTCCAATTCGCCTAGCCAACGCCGCCACCCCCCCCCCCCCCCGCCCCCCCCAAAAATCCATCATGCAGCCTCCACCATCCCGCAGCTCCGCCATCCATCAGCCCCGCTCCACCATCCCGCAGCCTCCAGATCCACCGATTCCTCCACCGCCGGTTCGCCATCCCGCTCCGCCGTCCAGCAGCCTACAAGCGCGGCCTCGATGGTGAAGGTGACGAGCGCGACCGCCACCATCCCGCAGGCACCACCGATGTCGCCGAAGAAGAGGGGCAGGAAACCAGCGAAGGGGCCACGGCGGGGAGAGCATGTTGAAGGTGAATGTCTCTCCTGCACCTTCTATTTTGGGCGATCTAATTTTGGCGGAGGGGGATGTGGTCGCATGTGCCCCATGAGATGGAGCTGTCCCTCCTCTTCTCCGTGTTTCGGTGACGTACATTGCTGTAGAGTCAGTGTGCTAGTGGGGCAGGTGATGGACATATAGGAAATGGTTCACCACTGGCTAAACTCTTTCTGTACATTAGCGAAAATTGGGGGAAATCAGGGGAGGGATGTTTGCTGGGTTACCTCACTAATATTTTCTCCTCTTGGTTTATTATGTGGAATTGTGGATGTGCTTGAAAAGCTTGGGATTGATGCCCTGAACTAAATTGCCACAAGATCCTCGTCAATTTCTGCTGCTACTACTAGCAGTGCCTTCTCAGAGTGATAACATCTGTGGGGTTCTTTAACCTGAACTGTTAATTTGTTATAGGTGCCGCTGCTGTGAATTTGAAAAGGCCACGGCAGGGAAACCCGATTGAAGGTAAAGTGTCTCTCATGCAGCTTCTATTTTGGGTAATGTGTCTCTCATGCAGCTTCTATTTTGGGTGATCTCTGTTTCTGGGAATCACCACTGTTTACTGTTCTGCGTTCTCCTTTAATTAAAAATAGTCATTGTCAGCTTAAGGTATTTGTCGGTGTGAGATTAGTAATGGAGGGTCCTGGTCGGAAAGATAATCTGCATGCTCCTCACAATATAAATTAGTTTACAAGTGAGGTCTTTTCACTATAACATGCTGACATCTGCACTCTTTGTTCCGATCAGTCCTTATTTACTCCTACGGATGAGAAAGTGTATGCGCAACAACGCATACATGCAGAAACTAGGACTTCCTGTGTTAGCTCAACTGTGTGCGAACACTACTATTTCCCCAGAAAAGCGGCAGCAGCAGGACAGAGAAGACTCTGGTTTGGAGTACAATGGTGAGGATGAGGCTAATAGTGATGCCCATCTAAGTGATGATGACCTGGAACCTCCTACTTTATCATCTAAGGTGCTAGTTATTCCATAGTGTCAAATCTTAATATGTGCTTTGCTTGCTAATTGCATCTAATGTTTATCTCCCATTCTGTATGTTTGATTGGTTCTTTGCAGAAGAAGACAACAACAAAGAAGAGGAAGACAGGTGCTAAGAAGGAACAACCTGGGATGCAATCTAGTGTTGTCACAAGGGGAATGAAGAATCGTCCAGCTGATGTTAATGCAATGAATAATCAAGCTGAAATCCCTAATCAGGCTACAGAGGAAGGTTAACTGACTACATTCTTGTAACAAATTGAACTCAAATTTAGAGACAACATTCCAAAGTACTATTACTAACTCTATATTGCATTGTAGCTGATGCAGGTGAGCAAAATGGCTGCCTGGCTGGAGATTAGCATGTACGCTCTGAGCTGAACCTAGATGGACACACTCCAAATGGCGCCACAATGAATGATGTCAATGAAAATGGACAAACACAGGTTGCCAACATCGCTGAAGGTGTGTATTTCTAAGTCTTGCACATTGTAATTCCATACCCAACATAGGACAGCAGTATACTAACACAACTCCTTCGTAGATGACCTATTTGATGAGGAGAACAGGACGAGGGGACCTAGTATTGAGAGGGAACTTGTTCAGATGACTTGCTCGAGGAAGAAGAGACTTCCTTTGGTTAATGAGCCAGGGAAGAGAAGACCAAACTCAGTGATGATCGCTGCAAAATTTGCAACTGAGTGCAACATTGCAGTAAGACAAATTGTTCCAATATTTCCACATTGGAAGGAATACAAGAAGTATCCTAAGATGATCGATGCATACATATCGAGAGTTGTTGTAAGTGTTCAAACTTGCCCCTTTCCACTGTTTATTTGCAACATTAAGATTGTGCATTCAATAACAATTGGCAATGTTGTTTACTGTCACTAGTCAGTTTCATACGGATGCAGATTCATTACCTATGAAAAAAGCATGTGTGGCTATGTTGAAGAAAGTTGTTCGCCAGCAGCGCTACAAGCTGAAAAAGAGGTATTTTGATGCTTTGCCACTACATCTGGTGCCCAAAACATCTCCTGTGGACACAATGACTAATGAACAATGGGATAAACTTGTGGAACACTGGAAAAATGAGAAAAAAATGGTAAGATCATCTAACTTTTCCAATTTCATCATGTTTGATGTCATGTGTGCTTAGCAACAGAACCGTATTGCTGTAGGTGACTTGTGAGAAGAACAGAGAGAACAGAAGCAAAGTGCAGTTCCATCAGACCACTGGTTCTCGCAGCTATGAAATGCAAATTGTAGATTTGGTGAGTACAACTCATTGTCACTTTCAACTAGAACATGTTGCTGGAGCTTCAATTGCAAGATGCTATATATGAGCATGCTATTTGTGAGGTCTTTTCTTCTCTGCATATTTAAAACTTTGTATGTAGCTATGGCACAAAGCTTAGTAATAGTTGACAAAAATCTGTTGTTGGTTGTGAGGTATTTTCACTAGAACATGCTGTTTGTGAGGTCTTTTCTTCTCTGCATATTTAAAAGAGCTTTGTATGTAGCTATGGCACAAAGATTAGTAATAGTTAACAAAAATCTGCTGCTGGTTGCTTGGTTTTCAAAATTATATCACTGCATACTAAACTTGGGGCTGCAAAATTAGTTATGCCACTAACACTAGAAAATCTAGAAAATGTTCTAACTTAGTTTGTTTAATGTCTTTTATCTGTGTTAGTAATACATATAATCAGCAACAGTTTTTTAGAGTGTCCTTTTTTTTTTCAGGCGGACAAGTACAAAAACGAACCACCAAATGCACTGGAACTATTGAAAGAGATGCACTACAGCAAAAAGAAAGGATTTGCTCCTGCAGTTCAATCTCTTATTGTAAGTAAAATCATACTTAGTTCACAATCTGATGATACATTAGGTTCATATATCATGATCATTGACCTATCTATGTCTCTTATGCTGCTAGGCTGAAATAGAGGAGAAGCTGAATGAACCTGTAGATGATGGTCTTCAACCAAAGGATGTGACTGATGTGGTCTCTCAGGCTCTTGTTCAGAAAACTAAGAACAGGTTTCTTGTAAATGTGGGGCTCCAAAGCAATGCCACACGTGTTAGTGCTGAGCATGACCTAGAAGAGGAACTGGTGGTGGAGAAACAAACATCAAGTGATCTTAGGGAGGTTGTCAAGGCTCAACAACAGCAAATGGAAGAAATGATGAAGAAATTCCAGGAGGCAGAAGCAGCTAGGGCTAAGCAAGGAGTCGAAGAAAAGGCAAGCTGACATTGATGCACTGATCAAGACTTTGATGTCCATGGTTCCAGGATGCCAAGCAACATAGTAAGGCTGTCTTGGGTTATCGGCTGGTGCACTTTGCTGTTGGTTGCTTATTTTGGTGATGGATGCTGCGCTGTGAACAAGTGGTTGCGTCTTTTGGTTGAATTGATGCATGGCTATGAACTTATGTGCCTGTGAACGACTGCAGCATGGTCTTTGACCTGTGCATGCAAAGCTTTTGGTGATGGATGTATGTTCTGTGAACTATATTTAGATGTATGTGTGAACTGCAGCTGTTCTGTGAACTACAGCATGGTCTTTGACCTGATGCATGCTTTGTTGTGCCAAACTTCATATGTAACTATATTTAGATGTATGTGTGATGATGGGACCTTGGCATATTTATGTTTATCTGTGATGATCTGTGGTCATCTATGGCGATGTGAATCATGTGAATTTAAATTTGAATGTGTCGTTAATTTAAATGTGAAATTGATGTTCATTTAAATTTGAATTTGGTGTAATTTAAATTTGAATTTTTGCTGATATGTTATGGGCCACAATGGGCCAATTCTACTATGCAATTGGGCTAGCCCAATAGTGTGTACTAAAATATGGGCCCAACTAGATCTAAAAAAATACACAAAACATGGGCCTAACTGAAGAAAATAGGCCATAAAAAGCCTACTGATGATGTGGCAAGGTGGCAGCCTTGTTAGATCCAACATCACCAAATGACATGGCAACAGCTGAAGTGGCAGCAAAACCATGACGGTTCAGTTCATCACCATAGCCTCTTCCTATAGTTGCCCTCCGGTTTATCCATGACGATCCAAAAAACCAACCTGCGACATTCTATTTCAGTCCAAAAAAATGTATGACACGGGATAGGTGACGTTTCACTGGACCGTCATCGATAGTTAACCGTGACGCGTTTTCGCTTGTCCGTGACTAAATCAAAACGTCACGTAAAGCCAAAATTCTTGTAGTGCATGCGATGACTACTTTGTGCAAAAAAAGGAGTGCAGCCAATGTTCTTGGATTAAGTTGCTTTCAGAAAGTCACAGCAGCATTTTGTATGCTAACATATGGAGTTCCAGCTGATGCTGCGGATGAGTATGTTCGCATTGGAGAAAGTACCGCAATTGAGAGCCTACGTAGGTTCGTTGCTGCAGTTGTTGATTTATTTGAAGAAGAATACCTAAGATATCATAATGAGGTTGACACAACACGCTTACTGGCACTCGGTGAGCAAAATGGTTTTCCTGGTATGTTAGGGTCCATCGATTGTATGCATTGGGTGTGAAAGAATTGTCCTGTAGAGTGGCAGGGTCAGTACAAGGGGCATATGGAGGAGCCCACTATTATTTTGGAGGCTGTTGCTTCCAACGTCTTTGAATATGGCATGTCTTTTTTGGAATGCCTGGGTCTCATAATGACATCAATGTGCTTCACCGGTCTCCTTTATTTGCTAAGCTGGCCGAGGGCAGAGCTCCTGAGGCGAATTATACCATAAATGGTCATGATTATACGATGGGTTATTATCTAGCCGATGGTATATACCCATCATGGGCTACTTTAGTGAAGTCCATCTCTCAGCCTATGGGGAACAAGAACAAATATTTTGCCAAAGCACAAGAATCAGCGAGGAAGGATGTCGAAAGAGCTTTTGGGGTTCTGCAATCAAGGTTCGCCATTGTTTGAGGAGCAGCTTGTTTATGGGACACGGAGACACTGGGCAACATCATGAAAGTTTGTGTCATTATGCACAATATGATTGTCGAAGATGAGGGAGTTGTTGACCATACTGAGCGGTTCGATTATGGTGGCTAAAATGTGGAACCTTCTCATGAGAGTAATCGCACCCTCGATGAATTCATTGAAGCGCATAAAAGGATCAGAGACAAGGAAATACACCACCAGTTAAAAGCAGACCTCATCAAGCACCTCTGGCAGTATTTTCCTCATAAATATTAAGTTCATAGGACTTCTATGTATTTATTAGCATGAGTACTTTTTCAGTTTCAAATTGCAATCAATACTTTGTAAACAATTTTCTATTCTATTGAATCAGATTAGTGCACTTGTATCATATAATTTAATTTTTTATTACTTCCAATCTCTTTCAGTGGTGTTTAGGTGTCAATTATCAATCATGAGCGGTCAAAATCCACACAGTAAATTCAAGTGTGTGCTGTTATTTCACTTTGCCCAGATACCATGCATCCAGTGTAATTCAACATTCATTTGATGTCATGCAGTGGTAGTTACCGGCACAGTGCCATGCACGACGGCTCCATGCAGCCGGCCATTTATACATATAAAATAAAACAAAGGTTCACTGAATGACAAGATAAAAATAGTTGGCTGTGGAAATAAAATGAAAGGAACTACATCTAATTGGCCAGACAACGAGTAACAATCTTCTGCTGCATAACCATGTAGTACTATTGCTGCGGCGGGGTCAGAGCGCTAATGTCCATTGCCATTATTTTTTCTTCTTTTTCGATCGTGTCATTTTCCACCTTCTGCAATTCAGCTTCTACTTTTTTTTTCTTCTAATGCCAGGCGCCTTTTCTCTAGCTCAAGTGAAGCCATGTGCCTCTCCTCTTTCTTCTTCTCTTTCTCCATGTCAAATGCCTCCTTCTTCGCCCACATTTTGTCCAAAGCCTCCATGCAAGCTTCACCTCCTCCTCACCTTAGAGCATCTTTTGCCTTCTTCTGTCCCTGTGTCCTCTTTCGGGCTTCGGACTCTAGAGGTGCAATCTCAGTGACATCTTCAGTGATGTTGACTTGTACATTCATGGGAGTGGAGTCTGGGCGAACCTTCTTTTTCTTGTTACCGGCTTGCTTCAGCTCTGCCGGTTCCCTCCTCTTGGCCTTCCACTTCTCTTCATCCTTCAAAATGTTCCAACATTGCATGAGAGTGAATGTCTTCTCACCGTTCATTCCTTTGAACATAGTTAATGCTTCAGAAACCTGCAAACATATGTGTTTATTAAATATCAACGTGTATGTCTTCTAAGATTACTGAAATAAGAAAAAGAATTACCTTGTCTTGAATGGTTTTTCCACTTTGATTTCTACGTTCAATCGCATCATAGCAAGCACAATACTTGTTGACATTCTCCAAAATATACATCCATCTATGCATTAGTGAACTCTCTGTTCGGCTTGCAAATGACTTCATGTGGGTCTCATAGTAATCATAAATTCTACGCCAAAAGGAGGAATGAGACTGATTAGCACCTTGCACGGGATCTTTGCTGACGTTCAACCAAGCCGAGACAACAACTTCATCCTCGTCTGGAATGAATTTTTTTTGCCTCTTGGCGTTTGGCCTTGGAACGCGTGGGCGTTTATTACCACCAGCACTTGACTGCACTTCTACAACTTCAGCACCTGCTATTGCCTACACTTCATCTTCTTCAACACCAGCTCCTACCCGCACGTCCTCATATGCGTGCGTTTCCTGTGTCATGGGAAAGCTGAACTCGTCCAAAGAACGAACACCCTCAAATCCTGTGACCAAGTCAGTCCAATATCCACCACCGGACATTGCGACGAGCCTACAAATATGGACAAATAAATCATTATCAAATGCTCCTATGTTAGTATTTCCCTTTCTAAATCATGCAAGCAATAGGCATCAGCAGAGAACTCCATGCATGCGCCGAGCAGACACGCCCGGGCACCCTCAAATCTTGTGGCATCGCACAGCGGCAGCAGGCGGCCAGCGAGCAGCCATGGCCGGCCACAGGGTGCCATGACCTGGCACACAGAGAAGTAGCCCGCCATGCCTTGTGTCGACGAAATATGGTCGGCAGTCTACCCAGGGCTATGCCCAAGGTAGTAGATTGTCGGCAAACAGATGCGCAAGCCACAAACAAGATGGTGATGCAAGACACATGAGGTTTTATCCAGGTTCGGCCGCCGAGAAGGCGTAATACCTACGTCCTGCGTCTGATTGTATTGCTATATGACAAGGCACTCGTGGGATGGCGCGCGCCGGAAGGAGAAAGCTACCCCGATCCACAACCAGGTGAGATTGTGGTTTTCGAGGATTTCTTCAAGCGGGGTTTTGGGGTTCCAGTGCACCCTTTCCTCTAGGGGCTCTGTTTGTACTATGAGATTGGGATTTGCAATCTGCATCCCAACTCGATTCTTCTTGTCTCCACCTTCATCCATCTTTGCGAAGCATATGGTGGCTTCCAGCCCCATTTCGACCTCTTTCGTCATCTGTTCTGTCTGCGGAAGAAAGGGAGCGGCGGCTCGAAGATAGCCGGAGGCGTATATCTCAATCTGCGCGACGGGATGAAAGCCCAGTACTTGCATTGGCCTTGGAACACATCGCTAGACGAATGGTACAAGAAGTGGTTCTACGTCCGCGAAGAGCCGAACACGATCACCCTGTGCGACGTGGGGTTCATTCCGGAGAAGAAAAACAGCTGGTTGGAGAAGCCCGAGCACTTGGAACAGGTTGTAGAACTGCTCGGGATGATCCCATGGGGGAAGCTGGATGGACCAAGCGTGGTCGGAAACTTCATCAGCCGAAGGATCCAGCCCTGCCAGAAGAGGGTACAGGAGGTTACGAATACCAGGGAAGCACAGATCCAACGAGGACCAGAAAAGAGGCGCTTGACAAAATCGAAGTCAAGGCCAGGATTGGGGAGCTATTCAACTTAGCAGATCCCAATTATGTCAGGTTAAACGACATCGAGCACGCCTTCAAGCTGGCTCGACCTCCCCCAAAGGTAAATTATGCTTCCTTGTACATGTAGAGTTATGTTGTAACAAAAATTGACGGTGTTGTCGCCTTTATGTTTCTCAGAGTAATGGTCATGACAGGGCATCAGTGTTCGTGTCTCCACCCCCTGGTGTGGATTGGCCGCAAGTTGCCGGCCCAACCCCCCAGACCAGTGCTAGGGCCAAAGACGTCGACTGGGCCGTACTTGGGGTTGGAGAGGAGGCAATGGCCAGGGCTGCTGGAAAGCGGCCGGCGGCCA